GACAAGCAAGACAGCAGTCGTCACCCTGAGGAGTATTTCAACTTTATACCTCCTAAGGTTATTCTCATATAAAAGAAAACACACCCCTCAGGTTTTGTTTTGGGTTGGGTTTTTTTTTTTTTTTTAATAGGCTCCCTCTTTTCCTGGTTCGTTTAAAATGGGCCTGCTGTTCAGTGTTCGTGATCTCCTCAGGACAAAGCAATCTGAGTCAAGCAAAAGAAAAAAGGCTGCACAAACAGCTCCACACCCATGCAAGCAACCCTGAGATCCGGCACACCTCTGTTAGCAAAAAGCGAGAATGAACGGACCAGGGTGGGCCGGCCTTGCCGGACCCAAAGAGACACCTCGGGCACTCGTTAAAACGCAGACTGCCAGGCCCTGCCCTGGAGTGTCTGTTTCAGCAGGTCTGGGCACATGTGGGAGACACCAGAATAGACGAACTTGTGCTCTGAGGCACACACCACATCTTCAGAACTGAGTAAAGAATTCGGACGCTGGCCTGGTGACATAGTGGTTAAGTTCGCCCACTCTGCTTCAGTGGTCTGGGGTTCGTGGGTTCGGATCCCAGGCACAGACCTACACACCACTCATCAAGCCATGCTGTGATGGCATCCTACATACGAAATAGAGGAAGATCGGCATAGCTGTTAGCTCAGCGACAATCTTCCACAAGCAAAAAGAGGAAGATTGGCAACAGATGTTAGCTCAGGGCCAATCTTCCTCATGAAAAAAAGAATTAAATCCAGGGGACTAGAACCGGAGGAGGCAGAGGATTTGTTCTCTGGACGATTCTGCTACACACCCAGCTACTTCAACACAACCAGCTGCCCTCCCAGGAAAACCGAGACCACCCATGAAAAAGATGACTCCCTGTACGTTCTTGGGGCTCTTCCACACCTGGAAACCAAAGACTCTCGAAGGATTTCGGAATGTTTACTTGGCAGAGGAGGAGAGGGGAGGAGGTTCTGCTGGGCTTTTAATTTTAGTTTTCAACTAAAAATAAAAGGAGAGAAACTAGTGATTTAAAACTCAGGAAGATGAACTGGTTACTTTCGCGCTCGTGCTGAGTGGGACAAGGCACGTGGAGCAATAGTTTAGAGATCCAGGAAAAAAAGTGGATGTTTCAGTTACTGCTGGGGACAGTAGCTCAAGATGTTGAAAGAAGCATATAATATGTCCCCTGGGGGATCTGAAGGTAGCAGTGTAGGTGACAAAGAAGCCTAGAGGACCGAGGTAGAGAAGGGAGCTTTTATCTGGTCAAATAAGCGGCTGGTGTGCAGGAGGCTGTCACCAAGCTAGCTCGCCCTGCAAAAAGCATAGCTCAACACAGCCCCAATTACTATATTTCCTGGACACTTTGTCTCACTGGAATACGACTTCTTGGGAGAATAGCGTCCGGAGAGAAATTCTCAAATAAGCTTTAACTAAAAGACTAGACGCTTCGCTATGGCAACTGCTTCTATTTAATTCCAAAAGCAATTCGAGACGGAACCCAGTAGTTCTGCCCTCTGATAACTGAGTAAAATCTAATACAGTTCCTGAAATTTTATAGACATTCCTCTCTTTCTAACTACATGAATAGTGTATAGACACTCTTCAAAGGCTCGATTTTTCTCTTTTGTAGCAAAATGGCGAGAGCCTAGGGGAGGGCGGTGCCTGGGGCAATGTTCCTTTTTGCTTAGAAGCCACCTGCTAATCACCTGCAAGTAATAACAGACTACAAGGCAGGCGGCCCAGAGAAGGAGGCTCAGCCCCATGAAGGGCAAGGGTTAAGTGGCAACAAAGCAAAGGAGGCTTTCTTGGCCTGAGGGGGCTCTGCAAAGTGACCAGTGAGATCGTCCCCAAGGACAGATTCAAGGGGCTGAGGAGCAGCAGTTAGAGATCAGAGGCAACTTGAAATGGGCCCACGGTCTGGCCTTCTGAAGTAGAAAGAAAATAATAATTTTTCCAAAAAGGTAACAGCATCTCAAGGCCAGCAATATCTTGGAAAGTTACTTGCTCTGCCTCTAGGCTGAGAGGTTGAGCTTGAGGGGGAGGGCACGGAACGAGCCCCCTCTCATGAGGCTGCTTGCAGAAATATGATGCCCTTTCACTCTCAGGCAAGGCCAGTGCCATACTGGAGAGTGGCATGGTGAGGTGGAGCTACCAGATAATTAAGGCGACACCGGCTTCAAATCGGATATGACAAAATCTGGCTAGGCCAACTGGTGTACTTCAGCTCAAGGGTACTTACAGCAGACAATTCCAAGGGCATGAAAGGCTTAGAAAACTGTAACTAAAAAGCTATCAAGAGGAAAAAAGTTTAATCCAGTTCCAATCTTTAACTGAGAAAGAATTCAGGCATATGAAGGATTTTGATGGAATAAGCATGAACAATTCTTTTCCAGCTACTGAAAAGTCAAGGAGAAGAAAAGGGCCCAAACCAGTCCAGTCGTAAAGAAGAAAGTCTTGAATGTGAGAGATTGCTGCCTAATGGTGGCTGTGGAATCTCTTTCTTCAGATTGTCAATAACTATAGAATATAATCATCGATCGCATAGTGCTGAGGGCTCTTCCTACAGGAAGATTGTAGGATGGCTTTGAATTAAGACGTGATTGGTTCCTCCTTTGCCATTACATCTTTCCCCTGTGCCCTGTGGAATACCTCTTAGACTGTGCCCAAACTCCCCTTCATCCTTCATCTAGTTCTCACCTCGTTCTCCTGTTTCTCCTCTCAGCTGATGTTTCTCTCTCTCTCTCTTTTTTGTTTTTTTGGTGAGGAAGATTGGTGGCCCAGAACTAACATCTGTGTCAATCTTCCTCTATTTTTTGTATGTGGGACACTGCCACAGCATGGCTTGATGAGTGGTGTGTAGGTCCACACCCTGGATCCAAAACCAGAAACCCTGAGCCACCAAAGAGGAGCATGTGAACTTAACCACTATGCCACCAGGCTGGCCCCAGATGTCTCATTTTTTTATGCCCCTTCTCATTCATCCCACTCTTCCATTTTGATAACAAGGGAAAGGGAAAAATGAGTCTCTCTCGATCCTGCTTCTCCATATTTACTATCATTTGAAATTCATGGCACCCATCTTTAGCACCCTCTTCATTTCAAGGCTGCTAAGACCCAACTGAAACATTTCCTCTCCCTCCTGTCTAATTTTCCACATTCCTGGACATGTTTGGTGACTCTGACATGCACATGATGATTCTTCCATCTACCTTCCTCCCCTGCTTGACTCCACTACACTGTGAACCACTGACCATCCTCTAGGTTACTAGATTACGTGATAGATTAAAACACTGGTCTCCTGTGGAAACAACCCAAATGTCCATCAATGAATGAATGGGAAAATAAAATGTGATATATATGTACAATGGGATATTGAACAGCCTTAAAAAGCAGTGGGATTGCGATGCATGCCACAACACGGATGAACAGTGAAAACATGCTGAGTGAAATAAGCCAGACAATATTATATGATTCCACTTATGTGAGGTATCTAGAGGAGTCAATGATTTCAGGGTGCTCAGGACTGGAGGGAGGGGGAAATGAGAAATTATGGTTTAATGGATGCAGAGTTTCAGTCTGTGACGACGAAAAAGTTCTAGAGATGGGTGGTGGTGACAATGGCTCCACAAGAATGTGAATGGACTTCATGCCATGAAATGTACACTTAGAAATGGTTAAAATCCTAGGGGAGGGGCCAGCCTGGCAGTGTAGTGGTTAAGTTTGTGTGCTCCACTTCTGTGGCCCAGGGTTCACTAGTTCAGATCCTGGGTGTGGACCTAGCACCGCTCAGCAAGCCATGCTGTGGCAGGCGTTCCACATATAAAGTAGAGGAAGATGGGCACAGATGTTAGCTCAGGGCCAATGTTCCTGAGCAAAAAGAGGAGGATCGGTAGCAGATGTTAGCTCAGGGCTAGTCTTCCTCAAAAGAAAACCCTGGGGAAAAAAACACTACCGCTGGCCTCCCAAATCTGTATATTCATGTTCAAGTCACACTTGAATTAGCCTGATCGTACTTAGTTTCAGAAAAAGCTCTGCAAGGTCTGTCAACAATTGGTGGTGAAAACTTGTCACTTAAATTTATGTTTCTTCCTTCCTTCACTCACTCAAGAGATATTTATTGGACTACTACTCTGTGAATGGTACGGTGCTAGAAGATGGGACTGACTAGATCTTATAATCTAGAAGATAAAAGGGACAGTCAAGAAGTAACTAGATGTCCCACAAAAGTTAAGACATAGGAGACTAGCGCTTGGAAGCACGTAATGAAGATCCTACCTAGTGTGCAGGAGAGGGGCAAGCTAGGACGCTTTCAGGAAACGTTTTTAAGCTGAGACCTAGAATTTGAATGGAAGTTAGGCAAAGAACTGAAGAATATTCCAGACAGAGAGAATTGTGGGTGCCACTGAGAAAGAATGTAATGTTTAGCGGATGGAAAGCAGTTTGGCTAGAGTTTAGAGAGACAAGAAAAAGGCATCTGATGAAGCCAGAAAGGCAGACAGAGAGTAGACCGTGAGGGGCCTGAGAGATGGCATTAAGCACTGTAGACTTGTTTTTCCTAAACCAAACGAGAATATTAAGCCAGATCTCCCAGGCCCCTCCCAGGTTTACGATGCTATTCAACTGTAAAGATGCTAAGTGTGTGACCCCTTTCCAAGCAAACTGCCTTGCCTGCTATGCTATCATCCTCCCAATGTCCTCACAGAAACTGTGCCTGATTCCCCAGAACACCCCTGACACCGGCCCCTGCCCACACCGTACCACTCTGACCTCATTCGAATTATTAGGCGCCACATAGTTTCACCGGATGTCTTCCCTCTCTAAGCCCACATTAACCTCCTCACCACTGTCTCCACTTCATAGACATTCGGCCAAGTTTATTATGTAATCTTCCTTTCTGACTCATCCCCTCTGAAGAACCTTTCTCTGACTCACTTCTACCTTTCCACAAGCTTCCTTTTCCTCCTGCGTCTTGAATCTCTCTTCTCACCTCTTTCTTTCTGCTTCAGATACTCTCAGGTCCCCTTTGTACCCACGTTGCTCTTCGGTCGCCAAATGTGAAGGAAGACGCGAACCTGGTTCATTATCAGCGCATTCTGTATAACTGCGGCTTGGCCCTCCACCATGAATACGAGGTAATCCATTTAGTCATCACCACTGTAGTCCTGGACTCACCTCCCTCTGAGGTTGATTCAGAATTACTCTCTCCTCAAGCTCCTAACCCCTTATTTTGAGGAAATGACTTTCCATTCTACTTATTCTGTGAGCACCCTTATCCTTCATTGGTCCTAGCCTTTGCTGTCCGTGGGTCTGAGAAGTGCCACGAAGTGGAAGATGTGTTTCTTGCCCTTCTAGAAATTTCGATCTAGTTAGGAACATGCAGGACTATATCGCTATAACACTCTGTTGTTTTGGGATGAAGCCTAATTGGTCACAGTGCACATTTCAACATCCAGGTTCTTTCTAGCTAAAGAGGTCAGGGAAGGCTCCAGGAAAGAGGTGAATTTTAGGCCTTGAAGGCTAAGTGAGATTCCAGAAGGCCAGACAAAGAATTAAGGAGGGGGTCTCAAACAGAAGGAACTGCAAGCACAAAGCACATGGGTGGAACACACAAGGTCCCACAGTGTTTATGCTTTTTCTTTTTGAGATATAATTGGCATATAACATTAGGTTAGTTTCAGGTATACAGCATAATGACTCAAAATTTGCATATATTGTGAAACGTCATTAAGCTTTTTAAAGTGAAGAGCAGAAGAACACAGTGATGTGACAGAATTAGGAGTGTGTGTTGGGATAACATTGTGGAGATTTTAACTGCCAAGTTAGGCAGGGAGGACCTCATTACAGATAATGGGATATTATTCGGGAGTGGCCTGCAATGAGGCTTGAAAGTTGAGAGGCTGAAAGCCAAGTTCAGTTAGGTGGCACCTGTCACCATCTGGTCCCAAAGTCACCGGAGGAAGGCCCATGGATATTAAAGATGGCAAGCACATTCCTCCTAATCTTCAAACAAGGATCCCTGTCCTCCTTGGTCTCATCCCTATTACTTTGTGGGGAGGTGTTTCTTACCCTTATTAATTTATTATTTAGTTTATTTAATGCCACTCTCCGAGTTTTCTTTTACTTGAGCTTAAAATTCCTTTTTCTGATCATAAAAGTACTATCTACCCTTAGCGGAAATTTTCAAAAATTCAGAAAACTAGTTCTCCCCTCATATTAAAATGCTTTCCCTTGACCCAACCTGAGAAACCACATGGTCTCTCTCTTGCTCTGTTTTGTGAAAATTCCTGACTTTTCAAAGTTTCCAAGTCTCTTTGACCTGCCATTTCTCTCAGCTGGAAACCCTCCCCACCTCTGCTTCCCCAGCCTTAAGGTTCAGCTGAGATATCAATCCCTTGGGAAGCCCAGCCACCCCCGCAACCCCCTCTACCCAAATGATGAAGGGCCCTCCTCTGGGCTCTCATGGTACTTGGGGCCTCCCTCAGAGCACTAACCCAATGATGTGGAAATACCTGCTTTCTGCAGCTGTCTTCCCAACTCGTGTATGAGCTATGGGGAATCAAGAATTACATGATGGGCCCAGTCAGGCCAGTGATGTAGTGGTTAAATTCGCACACTTTGCTTTGGTGTTCTGGGGTTTGCAGGTTCGGATCCTGGGCATGGACCTACACACTGTTCATCAAGCCATGCTGCGTTGGCATCCCACATACAAAGTAGAGGAGGATTGGCACAGATGTTAGCTCAGGGCCACTCTTCCTCAAGCAAAATGAGGAAGACAGGCTAACAGATGTTAGCTCAGGGCCAATCTTCCTCACACACACAAATAGGAAATATGCAAAAACATATACAAACCAAATAAAATAAACATTACTTTCTTTTGGGGGAGAAGGATTCAATCTAAGCAAGACAGGAAAATGGAAAGTCACAAAAACTCAAAATAAACATACTCGACTACTTCCCCTTGATGAAAGATAATCATCAGCAAAATGGAAAGGTAAAATAAAACACGGAAAGATTTTTGTAACACATTGAATAGACAAGGGGTTAATATTCTTAGTACGTAAGAAGTTTTAACTATAGAAAAAATGGGCAAGAGAATACGAAAGTGCAAATTCACTAAAAAAGGTGCTCAGCTTCATTAATAATTTTTAAAATGCAAATTGAGATAACTATAAGATACCCCTTCCCAAAAATAAGTTGGCAAAAAATTTGAAAGTCTGATATAACCACGGCTGACTATGAAATGGATATTCATACAATGTTGGTGGAAGTGTTAATTTATACAATTTTTTGATGATCCACCAACAGTTTCTTATAAAATTGAAAATGTAGATACACTCCGGCTCAGCAATCCCACTATCTAGATATCTATCCCACAGAAATAATAGGACATGAGAATACAAAAATTTATGTAGCACTATTGGAAATAGCAAAAAAAAAAAAGGGTAAAAAGGCTAAATGTGTATCAATCAGAGAACATATTCATTGAAGGGGGTGCTAAATACGTACCCATGTGAGAAGATGTATATATGTTAACAACTAAATTGCAGACCTATATCTGGCATGGTTGCATTTTTTAGTTGAAAATGAAACTAGTTAGCTATCTTTGTAAACACTGAAATATGTAGAAAAAGCTATTAATAAAGTGTCAATAGTGACTACCTCTAGGTGTGCACGGCAAAGGATGATAATGCTTCTTATACCAATTTTCTCTGTTTTCTTTCCCCCTACAAATATATATATATACACATATACACACACACACACACACACACACACACACACACATATATATATATACACATATATATATATATATTTTTTTTTTGGTGAGGAAGGTTGGCCCTGAGCTAACATCTGTTGCCAATTTTTCCTATTTTTGCTTGAGGAAGATCGTCCTTGAGCTAACTACCATCTATGCCAATCTTCCTCTATTTTGTATGTGGGATGCCACCACAGCACGGCTGCTGAGCAGTGTGTAGGTTCATGTGCAGGATCCAAACCCGCAAACCCCGGGCCACCAAAGCAGAGCACACGGACTTAACCACTACGCCACCAGGCCCGCCCCTACAAAATATTTTTTAACTTTGCCATATATATCTTCATGCTCAGCACTTAGCATGCCTCATGGTAAACATTCAGTAAGTGTTGGTTAAAGAGAAATCCTTTGCAAACCACCGTGAGCTCTTAGAAATCTGCCTGTTTCATCCATCTGAGAGCGGAGTGCGACCGTACATCACTGTCTGCTGGTCAAGTCTGCCTCCTGCCTAATTATTAATAGCGCTGCCCCCTTTCACACACAAGGTGATTCAGTTTGGATGACAAGTTGTGTGGTCACCATTATAAAATCTCCCTGAAGCCCTTGGCGTTGTTCCTTAGCAAGAACTCCCCCCATCTCTCCTTCCTCATCTCCAGGACACTCTTCTGTATGCTTCTCTCTTTTTCTTCCTCTTCCACAGGCTCATTCTTTCACTCACTGATTCACTTTCTTGTTTTTCTTCCTAAAGCTTAGTTTTGCTTAACACTCTTCCCTCTCTGCTTAATCCCTGTGACAATCAACCTTTTCTCATGATGACATGTGGGGACTGTCTCACTTGGGCTTGTACTCCTTCTCCAGGCTCATTTGCTTTGGCAGCCTCGTCAGTTAGACTCCCCACATCTTGCATCCTAATTGTCTACAACCAGAAGTACCCTTCTCCCTCCTAAACAACCCCACGATTAGTCCAGTTTCTCAGAGGTGCTCCAGGGGTGAGGTGACAACTAGTTGTCATTGTCTTCATTGAGCAACAGTATAACAGAGTGAACTCCAATGTGGCACTGCTCTACTTGGCCAAACTTCTAAACTTCTCAGTACCTCAACTTCCCCATCTTCAAAATGGGATAATAGCAACTACTCGATGCATCTGTTTCAAGGATTAAATGATTTTTTTTTCTTTTTTTTTTTTGAGGAAGATTAGCTCTGAGCTAACATCTGCCTCTAATCCTCCTCTTTTTGCTGAGGAAGACTGGCCCTGAGCTAACATCCATGCCCATCTTCCTCTGCTTTATATTTGGGATGCCTGCCACAGCATGGCTTTGTGAGTGGTGTGTAGGTCTGCATCTGGGATCTGAACATGCGAACCCTGGGCTACCGAAGTGGAATACGCAAACTTAATCACTGCACCACCAGGTCTGCCCCTAAATGATTTCTTATATTTCAGGCACTTAAAAGGTGTGGGGCACAGACAAAGTGTTACAGAAGTGTAAGCTCTTATGCTATTTTCCAAATTTTCTACAGTGAACATATATTACTATAATAATAAAAATGTATTAGAAATAGTCAGCGGCTCCCAAGGATTTCCAAGTCAACTGTAAACTGCCTGACTTAATGGCCTGCTCCTCACTGAGATGAAACCATTCTCCTTACGTAACTCCATCTTCTGACATTTTTCCGCTCACACTTTCCAGTTCTTTAATCCCACGCCCACCCCAACCTCAGTGTTCGGCAAATTTTAATAACTGGCTCTCCAATGAAAAAAAGCCCCGATTTTTAGCATTTGCCAATTTCTGTGGTATAAATCCTCCCCCCATGGCTTATTTCAAGCTACAACAGGACGTCCTGCTACACAGAGTTGGGGAGAAATGTGCAGAAGCTCACTCTTAGATAGTATTTCCACCATCCAGACACAACAGACATAACTCAAAAGCATAGATGATAGCCATATATGGGGAAAAAATAATTAGAAAGTGATGTTTTGGGTATTTATTACTTTTCTTTTCAATATCATTCATTTATTGTAAGTTTATATAATTTAATTTTTAATAATATTTTGTAAAAGCTGGCTCACAAAATTCCCAGAAATTTAGTCATTGGCTTTCTTGGTATGAGCAGATTCCAGCACACCACTGAGGGCCTTCTCTCGAACATCCTCCCTGACTCCAACTCTGGCTTCCTCCTGACCTGGTCCTTCTTGCTTCCCTCCACTGACCCCTGCTTGCCTATCCTACAGTGTAAGCACCCGACTGGTCCTCCCCTTACCCATGCTGTAGGCATTTAGGAATACAATACACTGAGCACCTCGGTATGCATATTTTATGATGCTGTTCACTGCTTATTTCGTGTATCATCCTTTCTCCCACCTCGATATTAGATCATATTTGTTTTATACTAGTTTTCATCAACTGAGGAAAAGGAGGGGGACTGCGTATTTGGGAATCATTTCAGAACCCAGGGGCCTTTTCAAGCTTCACCCTCTCCCAGCCAACGGACGCTGATATTTCATCTCCAATGTCTACCTCGCTTAGGTAAGAAAATTGCTGTTTTATCTGTTAGAAATCTTAGAACAATGAATGTCTGGCACATAGTAAACACTCAGTAACTACTTGTATAGTGAAGAGAGCAGATATTTTAGTAGAAAAACTAAAATTTTATTAACTAATTTTGTAATTAGCTAAAAATTTGGATTCCTTGTCAAGGTAAGTTATTGGTCTCTTATAGCTACATCAAAGAAACAATATAGTCCTGGTAGTCAGATGAGGTATAATAATGAGAAAAAGGGTTAACAAGTCACAGTATTCTTTCATACAGAGGAAATGAAATAAATGTCTTTTATCAGGAACCCAACACATGAGCACATTATCACAAGAGGAAAAAGTGGTTGTTGCCTTTATTAACACGAATATGACTGTTTAGAAATTCCTGCTGTCACATTCTTGGAGACCTTGAGGATGTGTACACACACACACACACACACACACACACACACACACAGAGGTAGGTATAAATATATATGGCCTAATTGTACACGTACTGCAAAACATTTTTAAACCCCAAGTGTGATGCTATGAACTAATTTCACTAGAAATGATCGCATTTAGGGATCAAATTATTTTACTCCTACTTACTTTGAAATAACATCATAATTAACTTGTCTCTCGAAGACCTCGACAAAAAAGAAAAAATAAAAGCAAGAAAAAGCTAATGGCCTCCATGTTCCCATGGAAATTTTGGCTTACACTAAGAGTCAAAGTGCCCGTGGTAAAGCACAAAACCTACATTTCACAACCAGTGTGCCGGCGTGTCCCTTCACATCCTTCCTGAAATCAGAGGAGGAATTTCAGATGACCAATTGTTCAAAGCCATTTGCGTTCCCCGGGCACATACCCAGTAGAGAAGCTTCCCAGAAAGAGATGCGTTCTCAAGGCATCTTGAAACAGCCACCCTGTAGATAAGACACATTTGCAAACTCAAGGACAGTATGAGTGGGTCTTCCTCTTTTAATTGGTACTTATATTTGCTCCAAGAAAGAAGAATATTTTTCAGGCTGCCTGTTTAGTGAAGAAAAAACTCCAAACGTTGGCCCCACTTAGCCAGCAGCAAGCTTTCTGCTAATTCTCAGTCATAAATAAACAGCATTGACAAAGACATTAAAGATGGAAACTATAAAAATAGTCAGGAAGGGCAAAAGAAAGATTGCCATGATATTCTGTCTCAGTTTGCAAAAAAGGTATTAAAATGCCAACAATACAAAAATAGACTCGAACGGTTAGTTTTTTAAAAACGAGAGAGAAACTGCTCCCGGAGCCCATAAGATGAGTGTCTTAAAGCTTTCATTGATTAGTTGATAAGTTTGCTGGTGAATGATTAGTCGATTAGTCAGAAAGGTTTGAATTAGTTACTAGAGCTCTGCCTCCCTTGAATAAGATCCCACCCACTGTGACAGATGATATCTGTTTTCTCCTGTGAGTTTGAATTTAAGAGCCACTGAAGCTCAGCAACAGTATATTCTGGCTCAAATGAGCTGAAAATTGCATTCAATTTGAATTTCAAAAATGGAAGGGAAGAAGGAGGAAAAAAAAAAAAAAAACCCTCAGCACCAATCAAGTCTCCAGTTTTCAACTACTTCCTGCTGCTTAGCTGCATTCCGCTAGGCTGGGGACCTGAAACCAGGAGGTGCTGCAGGGAGAAAGCATCTCTGGATTCCTGCCCGGTCTGAGTTTAAAAATAAACTTTTAATAGTCAAGATCAAAGCAAACCTCACTTTTAAGCACATGCATAATGCAGAACGCCACCCACCAAAGATATAGATTTATCTTTTCCCAACTCAAATTGGCCTGCCTTTATTTTCTTATGGACTTTGGAGGCGATAAAGGTGAAGGTGTTTTCCCTGGGAAACTCAAGAAAAGCAAATTCTTTCCTAAATTAAAATGAATTTAGTTCACTTAAGAGTGTCAGTTCTTGTGGCTTGGTTTCTCCCCCTTCACCGGCCTCGCATTACAAAGCAGATGTGTTCTTGAAAAGTTGAGTGAACATTGATTTTTCAAATCACATCATATTTTAAATGCTCCAAGAGAGCTGGTTATTTAAAGGAATCTTATGATAAATTATCTTATGAAGCCAAGCTATTTTGAGAGCGCAAATAATTGCCCCTTCACCCAAAGGCATTGAATAAGCACGAATTTGAAACATATTCCAGTTTTCTTAAAGCAGGGCACACTTGTAGCTTTAAGAAGCACAGATTTAAGCATCGCCAATAATTAAAACTAAACCAACATTACACAAAACAACAGAGGATATCCCAGAATCACGTAACTGAATGATTTTTGGCCAGAACGCCATTCTAGGATCATTTGAGCTGAAGGAACAGAGAGAACATCAAACTCATTTCAATCCACATCACACATGGAAACATATTCTCCCGTTGCCTAAATTATTCTCAATTTGCAAATTAAGCAACTCGGGTGCCATGAAAAAGGTAATTCAACTTCTAAAGTGCCATTTTCCACATCGAAGCAGGAATCTGCTGAATGCTGTTCAGAAAATCTGACTTATTCCAGAGGGTTCAGTACCAAGCAGGACGGAGAGGCATCATTGGCAGCAAGTGTGTATAGGTTTCCTGTGCACCTACTCTGTGCCAGGCACTGCAGCAGTACTGGGGGTAACAAACTAAACACTGACTCTGCCTTGGAGGAGCTAACCATTTAGAGCAGTGGTTTATCGCCTTTCCTAAATTGTCAACCCATTTGAGAGTTAGACAGAAGCAGAGACCCTCTCCACTGAAAGAACCCCTCCACACTCTGATCCTTAGATGACAGTCATTACAATGGGGTCCATGGATGCAAGGGAAGCACCTCAGTCTTGGAGACCAATTGAGCAATTGATGGTAGCCAAGAAAAGTACGCATTACATGTTCTTCCTTCAGAAAGTGAACTGAAGGAGACTTCACATCTAGACACACTTGGGAAGACCTGGGTGTTCAACTGGTAGCTGACAGCATCCCGAGCACGTTTAGTAAGTTCACAGAAGGTCGAGTTAGGAAGAGAAGGCTTCATATCTTAAGCACAGGACAAGACATATAGAAAAATAATATTTTACTTCTTGTGCATCACCAAAGACAAGAAATAAGAAATAGTGTTTTCCCTCACACCCACGGCTGAATGGTCCATAGAGTGAAGCGACGGAAAGAAGGGCAAAATCTTTCAAAGGGAATCACGTGATCACAGCAACACACAGTCAGTAAAGTCCAATTTGTCAGAATATCACATAAAATAAAACACTTTAAAAGCATGAAAAATGGTATCTCTGCCTTTTAAAAGACAGAACGAGGAAACCATGAGAGCCACTTCATGTACGTTGCTGGTGAAATGCACGCCAGGCCCACAGTGATAGTCAGAGATGTCAAGAGGCCTCTTCACCCTCCAACGTGTACCATGTGGCATTACGTTATGTAGGCTGTCAAGGAACACTCCTATCTCCTAATCTTGTAGGGGAACAGCTTACCTTTCAAACTGCAACGTTAGCGTAGGGTTTTTCCTTTACATCTTCATAGTTTAATGTTGTTTCATTGATGAACAAGTAAATTGTCAGCTCTATTCATTTATGTGACGTGAGCAAGGATCCGACCCAAAAAAGGAAAAAAAAAAAAAAGTAAGGTCAATTTCCTTGGCCGCTGCATTTAATAAAATCTTCCAGGCAATAGAGTTAAGCGCACATTAATAGCTCTGACTTAGTACCTTCTGCCTTCAGCGAGTCTTTGATTTTTCCTATATATATACTCAGGGCTGTATTAACACTCAAACTAACATACAGTCCTCATTTCTTATTTTACGTTTTCTTCCTCCTCAGCTTTATCAGATTTCTTAATCTTCTGCTCCTTTCTTATTTATAGAGAATGCTCCAGTTAAGGTTTCAAAGCACCTTCCATTATAACACCCCTTTATAACTTTCAGGAAACACAAAATTCTTCTATCACAGGGATCAAGAAACTTTCGACTTGTTTCACATTAATCTCCAAATATACGCGTTTCTCTGAATATGAGGGGTTTGTGTCTTATTTCTCTGGTCCTGAGGAAAGAAAAGGGCATAGGCAGAGAAGCACAAGTTTCTTGATTGGAAAAACTTGAAGCTTCTGTTTTAAACCACCCCACAGTGGGCTATTGCTAAATATGCCCTTCAACACGTTGTTTTAGGTAGAAGGTTTATCAGGTGAAACTATTAGGTTGAACCTCATGAAACTGCCAATATTCTTCCAATCTTGATGGACAAAAATGGCAATTCCACATGATTTAACTAAAGACCTCTCATATCTTTACCTTTATACCAGAGAAAACTGTTCAAAACAACAGAGTGATTCCTTGGATGTCCAGGGGAATTCTGTCCTGGATTTGCACCCCAGTGGAAGGGAGAAGGCAAAAGAAAAGAAGGTCGTGACCAAGGGTCAACTGAAATGCCCCTAATAATGTATTTGGTGCACACTTTGGTGCACTTTATTATGTAAAAGACATAAGAAAACTCATTAATCAGGTGGCACCAGGCCATCTTCCTTCACACTCCTTGAGGCATGAATGTGGTAACCGTAAACTTTGGGGAGTGGACACTTCAAAGAGATGCCTGTATTGTGACTAAAAGATGCTCAAAGGGGCCCTAAATTGTATTCACTAAAGACCCCCTTCAAGCCCACAGCTCTTCCACTTTTCTTTAAAGAATGAAGTTAAAAGTAAAAGGCTTGACAATTAAACAAGATTGGGGTTTCAATTCCAACCTCACCTTAATATCCCAAGACTACAAAAAACAATTGGAATCAAACTTTGATCATTTGCTTTCAGGTTGAAGAGAAACTACTTGAGTACTGGAAAACAGAGGGAGAATTTTAGAGTGAGAGCTGAAGACCCACTGAGCCCAGAGACCAACGGGGCTTCCAGTATAAATCGGAATTGGAAAGAGTCTAGAATCAAGAAAAGAAGGTGTTTTGCAAATAAAAATAGGAAGATATTTCCAATACATTCATGAGTGAGAAAGAAGGCAAGATGATTCGAATGTGAAAATTCAACCCTACTTACTTCCAAGGACTGTAACCATAGGAGGCCTGTTAAAAAGCTGTAATTTGTTTAAGTATGAAGAAACATTAGGAGACAACCCACCCAACTGATACCACAGGGTAAGAAGCCTGAGGGGAACTTATTAAGATTGTTACTATTTTTTATTTTTTTAAAGAAAGCTTAGGACTCAAGAAGTACCAAAGAAGGATTTGAAGGAACAAAAATCCTTCGGGTACTGATTTCATCAGATAATAAGTTGCTGTCCTGTAATATTACCAACGGTCATGAACAACATGGTTGTGATTTCAAGTTAACATTTGAAATATATAACTTGTCAAAGCCCATCTCTGAAATAAATAAAAATTCAAAATGACATTCACATTGTAAGAATAGTTTCTGGAAGGAGTTCTCTTTTGATCGCACACACAGACCTTATCTCGGAGCTGAGCCATTCAATGCAGGATCATCTTACCTGGACTGTCCGTAAACACTGGGGCAGCCCAGGTCAGCGGGCAGTGGGATTCTGCTCTCACTGTCTCAGGGAGGAGCAATTACTACCTTAGTCACTAACCTCCCTTTCACTCATGCACAAGACCTTTAGGAGTTGCGAGGAGAGAAAAGATGGATGCCTAGTGCTTCTACAATTCCTTACAGAAGAATGTGAAGTGTTCCTGGCCCAAAGATACAGGAACTAATTGTCCCATGGGCAATTGGGATCTTGCTGTTTGGGAGTTCTTGGGAAGTAGGAGTGAAGGATGAATTAGAACCTAGCTCTTCGACTGCTCTCCCCCAACTCCAGTTTCTGCATATTCTTACCACACACAGCTCTCATTCATTTCATGCTCTGTCCCATTCAGGGTTTGGGAGCGAGGGAAGACAATGGGGCACTGGAAGGGTATGTGGAAATTGTTCCTGTGACCTCGGTGATCTCCTCTTACTATAGAATGCAACATACATTTTCCCAGATTAATTCTGTTCTAAATGGTGACAATCAACCCAACTGGAAGCTTTCTTATTCGATAGTGCAGATAATTTACTGGAGAACAGAAAACAAGACTGCTATAAACCTTTAGAAGTTCAGTTACAGTATGATTGAGAAGACTTTTGTGGGTAACCTAGAAACTCATTACTATTTATCCCGTTTTTTTCCCTGTCTGCAAATATTCTGAATTACAAACAACCAATTTCAAAATGTAGACTCGGACACTACTGTTTTGTGAATTAGGAAATTGCCTAGACTCAATTAATTATTAAGATTGGATATATGAACTGACAACAAGGAAATTAATTCCAAGATTAAGAAACACCAGATACATTCGCATGGATTTTGCATTGCACACCTCCAGAGGGCCTCTTTCACACAGATTGTAGTGTGAATGGTGCCACCCAACCATGTAGCATTGCGAGAGGAAGCATCTGATTCCCTTCCTTATCCTAGAGAACATTTTTAGAGCAAATACAAAGAACTAAATTATCAGTATCTTTTCACTCACAAAGTCATTGACCCTAAAGCAATAGGACTTATACCACCCCTCTCCCCACCAGCAGCCACCTCTGGATTGTTGTAGTCATCTCCTTCGAAGAATTATCTCTCTACTTTCAGAGAGAGAAAAATCTGTTCTTCGGCTTCTAAACTGGAATGAAGAATGGATATTCCAATAAAAAGAGAAGCCATTTAGTGCATAATGTTCCTGAAACATAGGGGCATGACAGAGGAATCCGACTACTAACAACACAGGTATATTTGGAGAAAGCACAATTTGATTCCAAAACCTTAGGAGGGCACCTTACTAGGAGGATTTACCTGGAACCTACTTACATATAGATTAAGAAAACGTGTGCATCACATACTCTCAAAAAGTAAATGGACAGCAGAAGATTTTAAAATGGGAAACACAAAAAGTTCCTATGATCCTTTTGAATATAACTTTAGTATGCAGTCAGATAGTAAAAGATAAACAGAAGAAATTCCTCAGCTTTCTAGATTCCTTGTCATATGTTGGTCTCGTGGGTCTATATAGGTTTGATTATTTGAAGATCTTTTTTAGGATTTCAATAAAGCCAATCAGGAAAGATTATCCTGGGCAAGCATGGGATATACACACGAGTCACTGGTTACTGGGCAGATTTGGGATAAAGATGACTTTAGCCCTCCCTACCTCAAGCTTGCTCTAGTAAGGGAGAAAAATGGAACACTATAACCAACATATGTCTCTTTAAAGGAAGAGTGGGTCAGAGACTGATACAGTTTTGAGAGGGCACAATAATACATCAATTTAGATACAGCTTTTTCAGTGATAGACACAATATAAGGCTTTCCCCTAGTTAAACCGAGCTCAAACTGAGAATTCCAGATTTAGATCTTCCAAAATTTGCCACTCTACTGTTAATCTTCCCCAATTCAATAATATTGGCTGCCTTCTGATGCAGTTTCTGAAGGACAAAGCTTTTCTGTAAGGGAAGACAGAATATATTTTAATATTTTAAAAATAAGTGATTTGTTCCTTAAGTCGGTCAAGATGCTTCCTTCTAACACATTGCCAATCATCTTCTTTCTACTTTAACGCTGGAAACACGGCAAGTCAGGAAGGGCAAGGAAGGGACACATAGCAGAAAAGAGGAAATAAGTGAAAGACTGAGAGAAAAGAAAAACAATAGGAAGAAAGAGGAAGGTTAACAACGGGGGAGCACATGGTGTATTCACGCCAACTGGGAATACAATTAATGTACCCGAAATCAAATGGAGAGCAACTTCCCCTTAGCTTATTACTCCCTTCTCTAGAGGATTCAAGAACGTGATCACTGACAGAGTTCTTGCAGATGATCCACTCCAAAGCCCTCATTTCACCAGTGAGGAAAGGGAGCCCCTGGAAGGCAAAGTGACTTACAAGTCATGCCTAGAAGCCAGGTTCACGTGGACCAGTCTAATGTTCTACCAACCACAGCTGCCTGAAAGCAGTAATGGCTTTTCCAAGTCGTAGATGATCACTAATGACCCCAACAGTGAGGTAAGATGGAGATGGCCTTTCTCTCTCTTGGGGGAAAACACAGATCAGCTCACACTCTTTGAATCTGCCAGAACAGCTGGAGGTGGGCAAGGCCACAGCTGACCCAGCTCCTAGGGTAATTTGACCCTTGGAGATAGCACATTCCAAATTTAGAGGGACAAGCTCTAAGCCCAATGTTTTACAGTCCCAACAAACCATCTCTGGTGCTGATTATGACATAACATTTCTGATGATTAATTAAGAGCTCTTCATTACATCAGTCAGCTTATAATTAACAGCTCCCCCTGTCTTTAATAAAATATACAAAATGATATGAAATAAATGAGGGACACCAAGTGGGGAGTAAAGCTTAGATCCAAATGACATCATTATCGTCTACCAGTCAAAGAGGGGAAGAAACAAAAGGAGGAGGGGAAAGTAGGTTTTGTTAAGCAAAGATGAGTGGAGAGTGCTGAAGGGGAGAAGGGGGAGGAAAAAGGCATTTGCTCAATCAGTACCTATTTTCAGAATTTCCTTCAAGCTGGCTTGGACTGAGAGCCATCAATTATTTAAAAGATGTAACATGAGGCTTCCTTTGTTGAGGCAAATCTGCAAGCAGACCCCGAGAGAAAATAAAAAATGAATTAGGCAGAATGTATTAGTCTGCTCGAAGAAAGCAAAGATTTAGCTATTGGGGCTGACTCTGTTTTAGAAATAGTTCAATTTTGTCTCCTAAAATCCACGCCCCTTCTTTTCCCCTCTCCTTCCCTATTTAATTATTATTTTCTACAGTAGATCACACAGAAAGAGAAATGAATAATTCCCTAAACTTCTCCTTTCTTTTCAGATTCAGCTTGATGTATTGTCTTCATTTAAATTACAAATACACTAATCTGAAACACTGTTTACCAAGTAGCATTTTAAATGAAAGACACAAGAAATTGCATCACTCACATTTTAAAAATGACTTTAGACTCCGGACCTCATAAAAAACAGCCGACAGTGTTCTCTGTCTTGGCCACTATATTTCAAGTCCAGGGAATGAAATTCAATTAGTGAGCTTTGTACTCAGGACATTATGATTCTGATGGTTAGTCAGATCAAAACTGGTGTGCCAAGTCCTAGTTCGTTCTGTTTTTTGGCAGACCATAGTTAAGAAAAAATTCAGTAGGGTAGGTTGGCACGAGCAAAGTTAGTTTCAGAGGAGCTTACTTTCCACCATCATTAAAAAATATGAGAGGAGGGGAGCTGTTCCCTGGAATAGCTCATTATTTACTAAGTGAATGGATTAACTCTTGGAGAAACCTCAATAGCTGATCCGTCATTACCAGTTGTAGTACTTTCCAAAAATAGCAACTGGACTAAAATAAACCAGTAACTGACTAGAACCAATAAAGCACAGATTTGATTCATTCTTACGTTTTGATCTGCCTTAGCTTGTGTTGCACAAAAAAGTACCACTGGAATCTTAGTGATGTCTTTGTAACCCTCTGAATTAAACAAAGAAATAAGCACCTAATATGAAACCCCGAGCCTTTACAATGTAGACTCAGGCTACACCATCAGTTCAAGGGATGTTACATCTTTGCACTTGAAACACTGTAACACCTGGAACAAACTCACACAAAGCAAAAACCACTGGGCTGAAGCTTAGTGCATCACATGTCTTGATTGTCCATGTGGACCAGGGAACTGATTCAAGAGGACGACATCTGCGTGGATCAAGCAGAATGGTAAGAGTGAATCAAACTGATCGTTACATGGCCTGATTCTTTGGACAGCGAAAGTAGACAAACAATAGTGGAAATTTCAGAAGGATATACAGCTATTGGTCTGTTAATAACAATCTTAATTAATTAGCCACTTGAGATCTGAGCATCGATTTGAATTTCAGAGTTGTTTTCTTAAAACAGACCGGCTCAGATCACTTCTTTGCTTCTCTCACCATCCAACTCATTGTACAGACATACACAAAGGAATCATCCTTGGCATCTCTCCTCTCTCATCACCATTATCCATTCCATCTCCAAATCTTTCCCCCTTTTTGGAAAACAGTTACGGGAACAGTCATACGAAATTCCAGAAGTGACATCTGACTTCTTGGTACACTCCTTGGAAAGTTGTTCTAGAAGCTTGAAATTTTGCCATAGAGTGACCCAGGATTCAGTACAGATGGGCAGCCTTGACTCATCATGTCCTTGGTGCTATTTTTCTCTGACTCAAAGATGTGAATACCCCCATCTGTTCTTGACATGAATACATCATATCGAGGGTGTTTTAGATGATAATTCCATTCTGAAGTGAATCTTGTGTCAAATATGAAGCGGAAAATGCATGCTCACTTCCTTCCCACAATAAGCTGCCTCAGATGTGTTTTCTCAGAATTCATCAGTAAAATACAGTGCTAGAGTGGCTTGTTGCAGCTTGCTAAAACTTCTTGTTGGCAGCTTGCAATCAGACACAGTGGGAGTATTTACACCAAGGAAATTGGCAAGCACTACATATCAAGTGCTTTTTTTTTCTTTTACCCCCAGAGAGACAGTTTACCAGCACACCACTGAAAAAGGCTTTAATTTTGTTTCCTTCTTAGCAAAGAAAAAGTACTAGAGAGTGTATTGCATCAACACCCATCTTTTTCTTCTCTTTTCCCTTTCTGGTGGAGACTAGCCAGCAGTTCACCAAACTCCTCTCCTCTTGGTCCTTGGCACATAGCTAAATAATAATCCCCAGCCACCCTTGCAAATAGGTATGGTCATGTGATTGAGTTTTCTTCCACGCAGAAAGAGAAGTGATAGAAGCCTCTCCATACTTGGTCCATAAGACCCTCCCACACACAGTATTCAGTCCCATTTCCCTCCACACAGCCTTTTGCCAATGATATGGGCAACCTTGAATGCCATCCATTGAAGTCAGACAGCAAGAGGTTAGAAGGAACTCAGTCTTTGAATCCCCACTTGAAAGAGAGTCATCCCAATCAGGAATACCCCCTTGGACTTTATATGCCAGAAAAAATAAATTTTTATTATGTTTGAACCATTTAATATTTGAGGGTTTTTTGATATGCCAGTCACCATTACTGTAACTAAACACTCTTTCTCCTCCTCTTTCAATTATTGTCTTTCTTCCCTCCATCTGATATGATAAATTTAGGAATGAGGATTGGTCAAGATGGAGAAGATAGAAACAGAGGACCTCCTATGACATTGATTTCTCAGAGTTTTTATTTCACTTGAGAGTTTTTGGTTCTGTGTGTTGTTCATTTCAACGGTCATCAGCTGGAAAGCTGTGTTATTTCCATATGCTTGGGATACAGGGTGCAGCTGACTTTTTTTCACTTTAGTGATGTCACCTAAATGAAATGTTCCAATTTAGAATCATTTCCACGTTAGAAATATATGAAGAATCCAATCCATATGCCCTACGACTTGTCAAGGAAATTAACTATAAAGACAGTATTGATATTATACAATTAAAATGAGAGCTCTTAACATATTTAATTTCCCCCTGACCTGACTTTCTTCAGTCATTACAGACAAAAAGTATGAATTCATTATTTGCAAATAGCCCGAATTGCTTAAGATATTCTAGAAGGAACTAAGACACCCCCTTGTGTCGCACATGCACACACATACATTCCAGCAAGCATGTTTCTCTTTATGTCAAAATGTCAAGGGCAAAATTAATAAAGAAGGTGACGATAAGGAATCATTCTAGGTTGCTAACATTTTAGACTCAAAATACTGGAACTATAAATGTATTATTAGTCCTTATGTTTGTATCTTAAGCCTTTCTCTTTCTATAACACTCATGATGAAGAAAGAAAGAAAGGGAGAGAGAGAAGTAGAGAAATTTAAAAATCATATTAATCTCTCCATATTATTTACTATGTAAACCATCAGACGTTTTCTTCCCTATAAACTTGTATAAGGAGTCTATTTAGGGGTGTTTGGGATTGTTGTGTTTTTAAAAATTTAACAATCATAGCTCTGAAGCTTAATCACTTGTATGTGTTACAAGACCAGATGGTTCAAGTGGGTGTTTGTTTATAAGCTTTTTGCATATGGTTGTTAGCTGATTTTTAGACCAAAGAAGAATGTTTCAACTAACAAAGGAGGGGATGAGGAATTAATGAAAAACCACTGGATTTCATAGGTCCCTGGGCTGCTAGCCTTTACTCCGCCATCATTTTGTGCACTGTTACAGAGATCTATTTAGGGTCCAAGAAATGACAACGTGTTTAATGTGCTTTGAGTTCTTTACGGAACTCTGATAGACTTTAGGGGAGGGATGCATCTACCATGGACACAACACTGTTCTGGATGCTGTCGATGGACCAACTAGAAAAGAAGAGAGCACTCTGCCTTCCCAACACCTTCACCATCCAGAAGCTCTAGAGTTTAATGTTTCCTTTTTCTCCTGGTTTCTTGAATGGAGCTGTTTTGACCGGCCACATCCATCTCCATCCAGCTCCCTCGTTCTGCATGTGGATGAAAGGAGAGAAAGAACTTTCCAGGTGACCCCCCTATTCTTTATTTCCTGTACTTTAACCACATAGCCACTATCTGCAAACATGCAAAGGATGCAGGTTTATTCACCACAAAATAAGTGAAATAATATTAAAGGTTCTTTAAGAGAGAATGAAAGGTTTCATCAAGGCACAAACTTTTATGGCTTTGAAAAGATAAACATGTATTTCTTGTTTTCTGGATCAGAAAAGGCCCCATCTCCCAGCTCACCATCTTCTCTGGGACTTACCTTCTCTCAACTGAACAATGGCAGTCAACGCTTGCTTACGTTCATTTTAAATAAGATTAATAACACTCAGCATAGCTAGCACACCTCGTGTTAATATCTTACATCAGAAGCTGTCTATCCTCTATGGGTTACCCAAACTGGTATCTTTCTTGTCAGCACCCAATCAATTCCAAAAAGTAAGACATCTGAGGTGAAAAGGGCAGGAGAAGGACATGACTATCTGAGCATTTCAGTGAGCTTACTTCTCTCATATTCTACAACAAACTAGCAAGAAATTACAAACTCACAAAATTGTGTTTGATCATTATCATATCATGCATCGAATTCCTCTCTTTTATTAGGTTGGGAGAAAAATAACTTCTTCATAACTCCTTTGGATTACCTCAGCAAAATGGGATACCATTTGATTGTGTCTTTAGGATAAAGGATGTGTTCCATTTATTGTTAATTCTCCAGAGAGCCACACGGTTTCTGGGACATAGCCGGTGCTCCATAAAAGTATGTTGAATGAAAGAAGGAATGAATTACAAGATATGACTATTCTCTTTCAATTGTAAGGAACTCCAAGCTTAATTTAATACATGCCATTAGCCTTTGCAAAGTGAAGTTGGGAATACCTAGATAAATTAGCATACTCATGATTTATGTGACCGTTTTGCCTCCTGAAGGCAATTTTTAAGAAAGAGCGTTTTCATTGTTTATAGCCTTTAATAAAGAGAGTGCATCTGGTGAAATTCAAACAGATTGAAATACTGTCTTGATTTTCAACAAAAGAAATCAAATTTAGAACATATACTGGTCATTGGCAACAGTGTCCACCATATAGAGTTGCTATGAACTGAATGCTTATGTCCCCCACAAAATTATATGGTGAATTTCAATGTCCAACACTGAGGGCATTTGGAGGTGGGCCCTTGGGAAGTGATCAGGTCATGAGGGTGGACCCCTCCTGATGGGATTAGTGCCCTTCAAAAGAGGCCTAAGAGAGCTCCCTTGCCCCTTCCACCATGTGAGCGAAAAGACAGCCAACGAGGAAGCCGACCTCACAAGACATAAAATCTGCTACCACCATGATCTTGGACTCTCCAGCTTGCCAAAAAATTTCTGTTGTTTACAAGCCACCCAGTTTATGCTATTTTGTTATAGCAGCCCGAACGGACTAAGACAGCAGTCAATCCTCAATTAAAACTTGTTAAGGGGCCAGCCCGGTGGCATAGTGGTTAAGTTCCTGTGCTCAGCTTCAGTGGCCCAGGGTTTGCAGTTTGGATCCCGGATGTGAACCTATACGTTGCTCATCAAGCCAAGCTGTGGCAGTGTGTCATGTACAAAATAGAGAAAGATTGGCACAGATGTTAGCTCAGGACCAATCCTCCTCACAAACACAAAAAGCTGAAAATATTTAAGCCACTTACTCTCTCCTTCACCTTTTCAACTCTGGAAGAGTCTAGAGCAAGGCATCTTAATCTCAACACTGTTGACATTTTAGGCTGGATAAGTCCTTGTTGTGTGTGGAGCTGCCCTATGCATTGTATGATGTTTAGCAGCATCCCTGGTCTCTACTCACAGATGTTAGTTCAGGGCCAATATTTATCATCAAAAAAAAGAAAAAAAAAAGCTAAACAGAAGAACCATCAAATTAATAACCACTTTAAAAAAATAAAAATAAAACTTGTTAAGTGAACGAATAAATGGCAAGCAGTTTCGTATCAAGGTAAAAACCTAGCTTGGGTATAGAAAGTTAAACCCAATTCAATTTCTGATTAGCTAAGTATCCTTTCATTACTATGGACAATGATTATTTATTCTTATCTGGGACACAAAATTTGTGGTCACGTGAAATAAGAATGTTTAAAATCAAGATACGATTTCCTCTCATCATATCCCTCTAATAAACACCAGGAAAAGCTAGTGATGCTTCGGTACTCCTTCTCTGCAGACCAAAGGAGAGTAGAAACAGCAGCAGTAGCCATGACATATCACTCGTGGTCACTATTTATGTTATATAAACTGTCAGCAGCAGCAGGGCCATTTAGCATCCGACAAGTTATCCAGTCACTTAGACGACGCAGCAAGTGTCAATACTGATGTTACTATTTATAGCGTAATAAACTACACTTTGAACAATATTAGTGATGTTAAGCTTAGGTAGCACTCCTCGTATTAATGCCTTAATATAGATATATTGCTATAAGCATAGTTTACAGCATGAAACATAAACACAAATCCACTGATACTAACAAATCACTTCCTTGACTGCTTAAAAACGTACTGCCAAAATGGGCTTTCTGTGTTACACAATGGAGCAGAAGGCAGTGATATATATTTAAATTTTCCATTTTTAAGCTGTCACTCAAAAACTTTTCATACTTTTTTTAGCTTATTGATCTTACCGGCTTGTGATAAGACCTCAATTGCTTGGTTGGGCTGTTTTTAGCTTCTGCTTCTTATTAAAAGAGCTAAATAAGGAATCATAAAATGCTACTAATTTGGCATCTTTCAATAGAAAGGAAAGCTAAAAACAGCACCGAAATAGTGTAACTCTCATGTTTTATTGCCCCAGAATCCCAGATTTAATTACCATGTGGTATAGCATGATAATGGGTATAATGGAGCCATGTATTGCAATATGTATATCTGCGAATAAAAACTTGTATTAAATATGCTAAAATACTTAGTACAGGTTTTCTGATACTTTCTATTGAATATTTTTGCACAGGAATATATATATACACACACACACGTACACACATTGGTTCCACATAATATGTTGGTTCTTCGTATATATACATTGGTCCTACACTCTTATTTTTCCCTCTTTTTCTTTCATTTACAAAGAAACATTCATCCTTAATGTCTTGGCTACTCCTTAACTTACAACCTACAACCTGCAGGAAAGTGATCAAAATATCAACAGCAGAACAGTTGGGATGATTGATTAATTATCTGATCAATCAACTTGCGTAGCCCCTCCAACGCACACACGCTATTTGAGCTTTGAGTGGCAAATTATATCCCACAATCAGAAAACTTCCAAATGCTGATTTTGGATGCAGAACCTTGCTCTCTCGAATCTGTGTCCACTTTCACATTAGACTTTCCATAAGCGCTTCACGAATTGTGATTTGCTTCTCCCCTCAGTGCTGGCCTCAAAGTTCAAGGCTCAGGGTGGAAGAGATAGTGGCCCTCATAGCTAATTGCCCATATTTTGCAAAGAGTTTCATGGAAAAGCGAAGTCACAGCCCCCCAAGGCCAGGATGCATAATAAATATTGCTGCTATGAATGAGTTGTGTGATCATAATTGGGGACCTCAGTGCCATCCTGATTCTTACTCACTTGGGACAAAGCACTGGGTTTGTTCTTATTCCCCATGGCACACACCCCTGATGTACTCGCCAGAAGGGGTGGTGGTGGTGACTAATAAACAGCCATGAAATTTATCCTCCACAGAAGCAGCAGCTGGAAATTTAGTTACTGTCATTATACCTACTTTTTGAGTGGATCCTGAGAGCTGTGCAAAATGGCAAAATTGGTTTTAAAAATACATATTAATGAAAGGAAGACTTTTTTTTTATCTTCTAGTGTATCTAAAAACATTGGTCTTCCATAAACACTTCTTGTTTACTTGGCACCTCCTATTGTCAATCATTTTAAACTTCCTGCAACATATCAACCTGAGTCCTACATCTTTGCTGGTACTGTTTTGGTGCCCGCGATGAGCACGGGGACTCCACCAAGAGTCCTCAATTCTCTGCAGAGCTCACTGCTTCATTTCTGCACCCCTCATTTCCATGAATGCTCCTGCTTCTCTGAACACTGCCTCACAGTCACTCACATTGGGCCACGCGGGTTTGTCTACAATCTGCATATGTATATGTAACGTGCGAGTGTGCACACCCAACCACCGAGGCACATTTCCATTTCTCCTCCACATAAATATGGTGATGAATTGGCCACTGAGAGCTTTTCTGACAGCCACGCGAAATGGTAGCTACAGTGACCAGGGATGTCCTGCTTCCTCCTTGCAGAAAGGTATTCAACGCACGTAATAATTATCCATCCATCTCATTCACAGTAAAGGCATGGCAATGCAATTTTAGCCTTATAATCAAGACCATATGACAAAAACCAAGGCCATTAGGGACCAATTTCGAGTAGTCTCTGCAAGACAATGATTTTCCAACTGCACTTACATATGCTGAATAGTTACCTCTGCACGACCGCACCTGCTCTCATTTATGTAACCCCTCTGTTTTCCAAAGCCTTTCTTAGTAATGCCATGGTGTAAAGTTTTAAAGGCCGGCTGGCTTTTTTTTTTTCCTTCATTAATTTTTTTTGTTTTTCATTTCCCAAAGCAGAGGAGGAAAATGCTGAGGGTAAAATTTCCGCTCAGGCCAATGACCATATTTCAGGGTTTGCTTTCTTCTCTTTCTTTTTTTCTTTCCCCTCTGCCCTGGCCTCTTCAGCCTCACTCTCGGCCCTGCTCGCTCTCCTTTGAACTGAAGCCTGGTCTTCCAGGCCCATAATTACTTCACGTGTACTTTTCACCTCACCACTTCGGGTTCAGTGACATAATAATGTTGTCTCTGAAAGGACGTGATGTCGTCATAAATCAAAGCGCTGTACCAGCAAGGTTCCCCTTGCAAAGTAGAAAGAAAGTCAAAATTATTTAGAAATAACATAAAACGTAGCTCCAATACCCTTTCATGTCTTATTTCAAAATGCTTAGAGAAATGAATAAATCCATGCCCTTTTTATGGAAAAAGTTGTAAATACTAAAAACAATACTATGGTCCATCATTAATGATTTCCTAATTTGGGAGGCAATGGAAAAAGAAATCATAAGACTAATAAGAAGAAAAACATTTAAAAGTCTATGCAAAATAAAAACTGATCCCGACTTTGGATTCTCTACAGACTCCAGGCTCAACCTTATTTTTTAATTGTTAAAGGGAAGAGAAATTATCTCGAAACATCAATTAGTTGTTGGCTTGGATTTTTAGCTTACGAGCAAGGTTGCATCGTAATATCTCATCTCCGAGTATTTCTCTAAAATTATGAGATAATGGACTTGTTAATGCAAGTTCCAACACTACTTTTCTTTAATTGTAAGACTGAATGGGTAAAAAAAATGCCACAAGTAATAATGCAGTATAATAACATTTTTTTGGACAAAACCTCGATACAGCCCTTCTCCACTGAAGAAGTGTCACAAATTGCATATGGCCATTTTCAAGAAAGCTCTGTGAAGACACCCAACAATAAAAAAAATCCCTATCTCTGCCTGGAAGCCAGCAAAACCAAGTTGAGGTCGCTTCATTCTATGCTCTGGAAACGCCATTGTTATTCCTGTTTCTTGCTGCTTAATTTAACATATGAATCTTGGCCTGTTCTAAGGAAACACAAGAAGAATGCATTATGCCATTTTAAATATAATGTACTCAAAAGTTGCTAATTAGTTGATGGAGGCATGTGTAAATAAAGGGACGTTATATTAAATGAGCGAATGATCATGGCTTGAGCATTCCACCAGTTGAACAATATTCTGATTACCTAATCAGGTTCTAAATATGTATATATAATGTATGCCTCCGAATACCAAGGGTATCCTATACAAATGGGTATCATTCATGTGAATATATGTGCTGTGTTTCCTCCATTAAGGTACTTGCCAGCTGACAGGCAGAGGAGTAAGTTATGACATCTCATAGTGATCCTGCCCCACCACGTGTGAACATAGTTCATCTGATTGTCACCTCATTGGAACTATTTGCATTGGCAACAGCATATGGAGTTGGTTTTAACTTAAATTTGAATCTCTTAAAATGCCTTCAAAAAAGATTGCCCTGTGGTGCTGCGCTGGAAATAAAGCCATTGTGTACACAGGAGCTTGCCTGTCACATGCTTCACAATGCAAGTTACGGACAATAGAAATAGCCAAGTCTTTCAGAAGAAATTATAAAATTTTGGATGCTAACAGAGATTGGTGTGAACAATTCCTGTGTCACTCATGTGCCAATCATTTAACCCTCAAAAGCTTTCAATCAAGGAATAAACAAAACCTAAAGTTTAACTAAAATAGAAAAGAACAACAAAGTAAAACGAAAGCCAGACAAAACCCTGGTATTCTGCAATAACCTTAAAATTATACTTTCAATCCTAAAGTTGATAAAGAGTTCAAGATTATGAAGACAGATTATGAAAAGCACCATATCACCGTGATGCTAAAAGTATTGAGTGA